GGAAAGTGATATACCTGCATGTGTGGGGGGGTGGGGGTGGGGGTGGGTGGGGGGGTGGGGGGGATGTGGTTTGCGCACCTGCCGTCTTACCCCCCGTCCCCGTTGCCAGTGTTCCGTCGTTCACTAACCCTATGTGTTTCGCCATGTCGGGTTTTGTCCCGGGGAAGCCCCGTGGAGGAGGGCCGGAGGGTATGTGTGTTTACGACCTCCCCGTCCCGCCCCCCGCGCCCGCCTCCCAGTTTCCCCCCACCCCCCACCGACCCATCCAGGAGCTGCTTCCCTCTCCTGAACTCCCTCATGCATGCATGGTTACATACATGCCTACAGAGAGACAGACAGATAGACATACACGCCTTCCCCCCTTGGCATTTGTACATTCCCCCCGTCACCCCCACAGGCCTGGAGCACCGCCTACCGTGAGACAGGCCCGGCCAAGGTGACCGAAGTCGCCGCCTTCATTGACCGGCTGCTGCACGTGGGGGGAGAGGGGGAGGGGGAGGGGGTTTCAGCGGCAGGAACGGCGGGATGGCGAGGGGAGGGCTGTGCGACCCAAGGGTCGGATGTTGAAGAGGGCGACAAGATACTGGTGTTTGCTCACCACCAGACGGTGTTGGACACGCTGGAGGCTCACGTGAAGCAGGTGGGGGGGCGGGGGATGGCGGTGGTGGGGATTTAATGTGGGAAGGGTGAATGTGTAGAGGAGGAGAGGGGGCGAAGGGAGGTGAAGGGACGCAGGGGGGTGCAAGCGCTTTTGTGTACCCTTGTGAAGGTGGATATGATGTTAGTGTGGACGACGTCAGGGGCCTCTTAAAGAGACCTAGGACCATTAGGGCGAAAACATCGCTGTACGTGTATGCCGTACTTTTTTGGAAAAATACTGGAACACTGGAATGGCAAGAAGTGATTTCCGGAGGCTGTCTGTCTCTCTCGCTCTGTGCCGCTTTCAATGCGAGGGACAGCTGTAGCCGCCGCTACCTCCCCGATACGCACACACGCACACACGCGTACATTCTCCCTTAACCCCTGTGTGCCCCCCCCACCTCCTTCATTCCCCCCCCCTCCGCTAATACCGCTATCTTCTTCCGGGAACCCGCCCAGCGCAAGGTGCGGTACATCCGCATCGACGGCTCCGTACCGCCCGATCGTCGTGAGGTTGCCGTACGGGAGTTCCAAGCCTCCGACCCCCACAGCCCCCGGGTAGCCCTCCTGGCGCTGCGGGCTGCGGGGGCGGGACTCACACTCACTGCCGCATCGGTAGGCAATATGTTGTGTAGGTGGTAGTTAGGAGTGGTTCGGTGGTTGGGGGGGGCCGGTGCAGGGCGGTAGTTGTAGGTGGCTGGTTGGGGGGGAGTTAGCTTTAAGGGGTAAAGGGCGGGGGGGATCACACACAGAAACACACGGCGAAATCCTAGGGGGCTATCGGGGTTCGTGTGAGGCTCCCCCGCCGGGTTTAAGGGGGGCCAGCTCTCCCCCCTCATCTCCCCCTTGCCTGCGCTTCCGGCGGGTGCTGGTGTGTTGTACGGCATTGCAGGCCCAATGCATGATCCCTTACGTCACGTTCTGGCTTGCTCGGAACTTCGGATCCAGGTCCTCCTGGATACCGAGCTGCTGCGTGCGGCAGGCGGCCATCACCCCCCCCCCTCTACACCCGCCCGAAGGACACCGCTCTGCCCTTCCCAACCCCACCCAGTACTACTACGATGGGGTCTGCCTTGGATTCTTAATTTTTATATTCGTTCCTTCTCCTGGTACTTGTAGTGGTGCGCTTAAGTACTGCCTTGCCCGCCCCTACGCTGTACGGATACGGCGTTATGTACGGCACGCAGGTGGTGGTGTTTGCGGAGCTGGACCAGACCCCCGCCCTGCTAGCCCAGGCTGAGGACCGGGCGCACCGTGTGGGGCAGGGCAGTCACGTGCACGTGTACTACCTGCTGGGGAGCGGTAAGATGGGGCCGGGGTCGTGTGTGCTTGCGTGTATGCGTGGAGGGGTGTGTGGAGGTGTGTGTGGAGGGGTGTGTGGAGGGGTGTGTGGAGGGAGGAAGGCGGCTATTGAACGACAGCTACAAACCGAAGATGGGCGGAGAAGGGTGAGATTCTGAGAACCTAGTGGTAGATCCATCCGGGAGATTGATGATGTGGTGGTCTTCAGTGGCCTGGAGCGATATCGAACCAAAATCTCAGCAAGCTAAAGCCATGCATGTATACTTGGTCCAGTGGACATGGAACACATTGCGACATTGCGACATGGTGTATGTTGTGGAAAAAAGCAATACACACTCTCCGGCCCCCTCTCTCTCACCCCCCTACTACCGCCTTCCAACCCGCCTGCGCGGCCCCGTACAAAGGCACGTTGGACGAGCGCATCTGGAGGATGTTGGAAACCAAGAAGTTTGTCATGGGCGCCGCATTAGACCGCGAGGAGTACGGCGAGGAGCAGGAGGAGGAGGCGCGGTATGAGGACAACAACACAAACACGCAGCACCAACAGCAGCAGCAACAACAACAGCAACAGCAACAGCAACAACAGCAACAGCAACAACCCCATCAACAACAACAACAGCAGTTGCACGGTCAGGAAGGGGAGATTACTTTCTGGGCCGGCGGCTCCCCCTCCCCCTCACCAGGTCTCTCCTCACCACCCCCGGACCCCAAGTACCCTCCCGCAATCACCCCCGCCACAGCCACAGCCGATGCGGCCGCAGGAGGCACCTCCCAGCCAGAGTGCTGGGATGGTATGTACGGCAGCCTCCGCGGCGGCGGCAGTGATCCCAGCCCTAGCGCGCCAGCACAGGCGCAGCCCACTACCGCCGCCGCCGCCGTCGCCGCCGCCGGCGACGGTGACGGCGGCTACTGGCTCCCCATGTTCCATCGCACTACTGCCACCACCACTACTGCCATCACCCCTCCAGCGGGGGACGGAGGAGGACGCGGAGAAGGATTAGGGGCCCTAGGACCCCTAGGGGAAGGGGAACGACCTCGTAGGCCGGCAGTGCTCAAGTGGCGACGGCTTAGGGTGCAAGGTGACACGGGGGAGGAGAGGGAGCCCGGTGGGGGGCAGCCCCAGAGCCCTCACAGCCCCGGGGGGAGCCCGGTGCCGACCCGGGGAGTGGGTAACCTGCTGACAGCCCTCAACGCGGTCCCGACAGCGCCTCAGGCAGCAACCACACCTGGGGCCTCCTATGGGCGACCTGGGGCTCACCAGCAGCCGTATTCAGGACGTGGCGGTCAGAGTGGTGGTGGTGATGTTGGCGGAATGGTCGATCCAGAGGGGTTTGGCTGGTTGGGGGGCTTGTCGCCGCCGCGGGAAGAGGATGCCCGGGCATTCGGCGGCTTCACATTCGGCAGCGGCGGTGGCGGCGGTGCTGCCGACGCTGGCGGTCATGTTCTGGGTTCCGGGCCTCTCCCACCGGGCGGCCTAGTCGAAGGCGGAGCCGGGACAGGGGGTTCGCCTCTGGGGTTGGATACAACAGCAGGCGGTGCGGTGGACCTGGGGCTGGCAGAGGCGGCACAGCCGGGCAGCCAGCACAGCGCAAGTAACCACACGGCGGCAGGGGAGTCTGCGGGGATGGCGGCGGCGGCGGCGGCGGCGGGGGGAGCCGCTGGGGGCAGCCGGCGCCGGAGGCTGCCTCAGCCGCCGGCAGCGGCGGAGGGCGGAGGTGTGCCACTACCTGTCCAGTCGACTTCCCACGGAGGGCCGTTCGTGGTGGTTGACCTGTCTCAGTCGGATGGGGATTCGGAGGGTGAAGGCGCGGGAGGGGGCCACTGCGGCCCACGGAAGCGGCGGCAGGGAGGCGGCAGCAGCGGGGGCGGTGCACCGCAGGGACATGCATCTGGCTCAACGGCTGCGAACAAGAGCCAACCGATAGAGATTGACTAGATGTGCGAGAAGGGGATTGGACTTGTTGAATTGAATTGTTGTCGTCCGTCGTGCTGCATTTGCACGTGTTCTTTTATTGTTGCTGTCCTACCCCTTTTTTACTCGTTCGCAACTATTAATATAATTTTGTGTAGAGGGGGTTCAACCATTTGTCGTGTTGAAGACTGGAGCGGACGGTGAAGGAGGAAAAAACGCCGGTCGCTCCGCCGGAACGGCATCATGTTGTCGTGTGGTAACCAACGAAGAGGCGCCGGCTGCATACAGAGGAGCCCGGCAGTTGAGGAATTTTGCCTACAGAGCATACAAGTCAGAAGACTCCAGGACTGTATCACTGTACGGTACTAATTCGTACACTTTACACGTACGTTGCAACTGTGTCTCTTGGTGTACCATTACATTTATGGAATTAGCTTTCGAACAACGGATCAACGAACAACCAAAAGTGATTATCCGCATGTCTATCTATCTCCCATGTATACTGTAATTGTTGTCGCTGATGGCGCAAGTTGAAGGATAGTTGCCTGTCCCGCTGTCTCCCCGCTGTCGCGTCGCATGACTTCGATAATTAAATTACGGGAGAACGGGGGGTGAGACTGGGCAACTGAGAGCAGGAGGAGCCTCAACCAGGAAGGGGAAAGGGGGGGGAGTATATGCGGTTCCAAGAAAAAACTGACGTCTGAAGATCGCGACCCTGGGGAGGGCGGAAGGAGGAGGGGGGCACTGCTGCAGGAGCGCACACCGCGCGCAGAATGTACTAAGTCTGCCGGGGCTGCGATCCTGTAGGGCTTGTAGTCCTCTGGGGGCTCGTGAGGAATTCAGGAGTGGGAGAGGTCCTGGCTAGCTGGCTAGGTGGGGTGGGGTGGGGTAGGTTAGGGTGGGGTGGGGTGGCGGATAAGTCCTGTTGTGCCGCTAAGCCGTGTAAGAAGCGCCTGGTGGGTGGTGGCTGCCATGGGCCTGTCCAAAGTACTGTTAGTCGCACAGTCATGCCGTAAACACACGGGCGCACTACATGGCCGGCAGGTGTTCACCTCGGCTGCCCACCGCTATCGTTCGTACACATCCCACCGGGACACCACAACGGGTCCTGCCGTGCCGGGTGGGGAATGTCGGGAGAGAGGAGTGAGGCAGCGCAACGATGGTGACGTGGGAGACAACTTACCCTGCACGGGGCAGTCTCCTGTGGGGGCCCCATCGGGGTACCACCACTCGATCACCACTCGACACCACGGCCCTCACCCCGCTCTACTCCTCCTCCTCTTCCTCCTCCTCTTCCCCCTCCTCGGGCTCCTCCATCAGCAACAGCTCATAATGTCGGACTGGCATCTGCAACACCACCCGCACCCAGGGCCCGTGATGTCCTACACCGTTCCCGCTCTCCCTCCCACTCCCGTCACCACCCGGCCCAGCACTCTTCTCGCCTTGACCTCCAGCTCCTCCTTCTGGACCGGGCCCCCCACCCTGCACCGCTCCTCCTGCCTCCGCCCTGCCTTCCCCCCACTGCACGTGTACCTTGTTGTCCCACAGCGACTGCCGGCGGGGAGGCAGCTGGTCCACCAGGAAGTGCAAAGACACAGAACCGCCCCCTCCCGGAGCCTCCCCCGCCACGTTCCACATCTCCACGCCGCACCTGGGCGCATAACAAAGGGGGAGGTTTCACCGGGGCGGTGGAAGTGGGCTGGCTGGGTGGAGTGGAAACACACACGCACACACGCGCATGCGGGAGCACATACACACGCACGGCAGCACCGGATCGGACAGTGGTCCCCACCTGCCCAGCCGCACCCTGCCGCAGCGACTGTCCAGTACGGCCAGGTCCACCATCAAGGGGATGGAGCCGCCGCACAGCTCCTGGACAACAACATGATCAGGGGGGTGACGGGGGGTGGAAGGTGTGTGTGCAGCAAAGTCAAGAAAAGAAAACCAACGTTCCAAGCAGGGTGGGGCAGTAAGTAAGTATGTAAGTAAGTATGTATGTATTCATTTATTTATTTATTTGTGTGGAGCATACGTGTGTTGCGAAGAGCGCAACGGACGGACATTGTGTAGCGACCTAGCTAGCCCGGGTGAACCACACCGGCGCCCCCCTCAGGGTGGCGGAGTGGCGGGCGGGAGGATGCGGGCGCCCGGGGCCACGAGGGCCTCCACTGCCACAGCCCTCTGTCCCCTCCCGCACTCCTCGCTCCCTTCCTGACGCATGGAACCTGAGGCATACGAGCTTCGTGCTGTGGTAGCGCTGTTCAATTTGTCCGAATGCTGCTTGAGTATCAACTACATCACACACCACCTCCCGGACCGCCGCTTCCGCTGCCCTCCCTAGTGCGCTCCACGAGGCGCCCAGTCCGCACTGCCCCCGCACACGGCAAACGTCAATAGCTGTTGACGTAGCTGACGGCGCAACTCGCTGACGATCGGAGGAGCAACAATACTACGGCAAGGAAACGGAACGCCGTACATAGTGCCGTACCTATACAATACCGTATATATGTAGTACCGTATATAACTACCGACTAACCCACACGACCTCCCCCCCACACGTGCCTTCAGCCGGGCAGCTGCCTCTGTGTTTCGCCCTTCCTGCTGCGCCCCGCCCCCAGCCCCACTCCTGACGGGGGGCTCACTGCCGGAGGTGGTGGTGGTGGCAGTGGTGGCAGTGGTGGCAGGTGAAGAGGGGCCAGTCACCGCGGTGGGGCAGCGGCAGGCGCCACTCCGGAATGTACGTCGGCGAATACCAGCACCGGTGACGAAGTCGTACAGCGGATCCACAACCGCAACTGGATTCTGTCGTCCTGTCTGTTGCTTCCGGAAGCGGGGATCAGGTTCGAACGCTCGCCACCAGGCCGCCGCCAGCTGCTCAGCCGCCGCTGTCGCTGTCGCTGCTGTCCGCACTCCTCGCCCTTCCTGCGGCAGACCTCTTGCCTCTTCAGTGATGTTTTCAGCGCCATTGGTACGTTCGGATGTGGATGAGGATGTGAGAGTGGCGGTCCCAGAAGCGCGGGAAGGCCCGCTCCCAGGTGCGCCTCCCACGGCGGCGGCGGTGGGCGGCGGCGGCGGCGGCGGCGGCGGCGGCTGCTCGAGCATCACGACGTCCCCTCTGCGGCTGTCCCCGACCACACACGCCACACTCCAACACGGCGGGGCCTCACCTCCCGACCTGTCGCGGCGGGTGGGGGAGCTGCCGCTGGGCTCCAGTAGTGGAAATCCAGTCGTGGAAACCGGCCATAGCCGTACAACACACCCCGCCACCCAGCCGCCGCTGGCTGAGGCCGCCGTCGCTGTGGGCAGTACGTTCCAGTCCATATAGAGGTAGATGGCGGGGCCGTCGGGGGGAGGGAAGGCAGGGCTAGGACCGGGAGTCGCTACGGCGGCGGCGGCAGCGGCAGCGGCGGTGTCTGAAGCGGTTGCAGAGCCCGGTGAGGCCGAGGATAAGGTTGGCTGGAGAGATACCGGCACCTGCTGCTGCTGCTGCTGCTGCTGCGGCGGCGGCGGCGGGGGCGATTGCTGACGCCTCTCCTTCTGTCTGTGTCTCCGTTTCTTGTGAAGCTCTCCGACGCGCGCCTCGTAATGACGTCGTCCCGGGTGCGCGGGGTGCGGTGCGTGCAGGGGCAGTGGGAGGGACAACCTGCCCTGCGAGGGGTGAGGGGTGTGGGGGTGTGGGTGTTAAGCAGAGGCGAATGATTGACTGCCGTACCACACTGCCGTACCTCAGGCTCAAGCTCGAGCGGCACCACGGGTAGCAGTTGTTCGTAGTGCAAGTAAGCCGCCAAATGGGCTGGGCCTTGGTGAGGGGGAGGAGGGGGGGGGGCTGGTAGGCCGCCATGGCCACTGCTGCCAGCGGCCTCCGCTCCGGCTCCCGCTCCGACCGCTTCCTCCTCCTCCTCGCTCCCCTCTTCCCCTTCCTCATCCTCCTCCTCCTCGCCACCGTCCTCGTCATCATCCCATACGTACAAACCTAATGTCGTACACCGTACACGACACCGGGGCGGGGAACGAAACGAAACCACATTCCGCTCGGCGCATTGGAAGGAAGGACACCTTCCGGACATCCCGCTGCCTTTTCCTCGCTCCCCGCCCCAGCTCATCAGGCCCTGAAACACATCCGTACACTCAATCCCGCCACCCCCTGCCGCCTTTCCCCTATTTGCCTTCCGCTCGCCTCCTCCTCCACCACCCCCACCACCCCCACCCACCCTCCACGTGGCTCTGCAGCAGACGCATTCGGTCGCCCTGATGATGGCGGTTGGTTGCATGTGAGGGGGTGTAGTACATTAGGTGGGTGGTAGGGGTGTGACGAGCAGATAGGTCGGTCGAGGGGGGAGGGGGGGATGAAGAAGGGAAGGGAGAGGAGGAGGGAAAGAAGGGACTTCAACTTCATAAGACTCTTCTTTCAATTCAAAAGGATGGCAGGAGGTGCTAATCACGAGGTCTTAGCAGTCGTAACAGGACCAGCGGGGTTGGGGGGGTTGGGGGTTTGCAAAGTAGCAGCAGCAGCAGCAGCAGTGGTAGCAGCAAAGGGTCACACAGCCTTAACACTGCACTCACCAGGATAAGATCCTGGGTTCGATTCCTGGGGAGACCCCCGACATTGTCGGGAGCGTGAGATTATGGCTAGCACTGAGGTGCTAAGGAGGTGAGGTCTAGTTCACGGACTGAGATTCGCACGCTGGATTGGCGGCGATGGCTGAACCCTCTGTCTCTGCGGATGTCGGGTGACTGGATGAGCAGGACCAAAGCCGCCTTCGACTTCCAGTTTGTACGGCGGAATTAACTACCACTATGTATAGCCCATGGGGCCCCCGGGGCTTTGACGGACCCCCCCCCCCCCACTCGTGCGGAACTTTTGTAACTTGACCTGGCCCCAATAACCCAATAGCTTCCTAACCATATTCCCTAGCCCCCCCCGTCGCTCAATTGTCCCGAGAAACCCCATGCCTGGTCCCCCTTCCGCACAGCACCTTCACCTGCCGTACATCCGTACAGTTCGTGCCGTACCTGCGGCAATCGGAAGGGGCTGCTATGCATCACCGGCCACTGGCGGATGCGGCCCCCCTGGAGTCCCTCCGCGAGCACCGTGAGCTCCTGTGGGGTGTGGGGTGCGGGTGGGTTAGGTTGGTGGGTGGGTAGGTGGGTAGGTAAGTCTGTAGGTAGGTAGGTCGTCCATTGATCAGGAAGGTCGTCAGGAAGGGTTGGTGAGGACGTAGTCAAGGGGCCAGGCAAGGAGTGTGTGTGTGTGGGGGGGGGGGCCCGGGGGCGAGGGAGTACTCCGCAGGCGGAGAAGGTGGCTGAGAGTTGCCCCACCGGGCGGGTAGGTGGGTAGGTGGGTAGGTGGGTGGGGGGGGGGGGGTCAACCAACCGGCGGGTGCCCTACTTTGGGGGCTGTAGTAAGATTAGAGGTCGGGGCCAGACTCTCACACATCTCCTGTTGCATCAAGTCTGACCATGTACGGCACTGCATTCACCATGTACGGCACTGCATTCACCATGTACGGCACTGCATTCACCATGTACGGCACTGCACTCACCATGTACGGCGCGCTATCTTGGGGCCCCCCACTGCCACCACACGTGTCACCTGAAGGGAAAAGGGCCAAACACAAATACCATGTTGTGCGTGTGCGTGTGCGTGTGTGTGTGTGTGTGTGTGCGTGTGTGGTGGGGGAGGTTAGGAAGTGTAACGTACCTGGGTGCGGGGCGCCCGAATGGATTGGCGGCGGAACGGCGAGGTGAGCGCAGCGGAAAGAAGCTATTCTGCCGTCATCACTTCAATGGCCAGGAAGGGCTCCAGGACCCATCCCTTTCCGGCTTCCCCTCCGGCGAGCCCCCCACTCTATACCCCAGAGGCAAACCAGACTTCATCCCACTTCCCAACCCCTGCCCCTGCCCCACCCACTGCCACTTACCTGGCTCCCAAGGCGGCTGGCGGGCCCCCGCCTCCGCCAGCCTCCGCACCCACCCGGGAAGTCGGAAGCGCAGCCACACGCTCTGCGGGTTGAGGGCCCAACCTCGACACCGCCGCTCGGAGCAGCGGAGCACCACCACCTCACCGCTGCCTCCTCTGCCTTCTCCTGCTGCTGCTGCTAATGTGTCGCCACCCTTGTAGTGGTGCACCAGGGTTGTGTGCGGTAGTCCTGCGTCGCTCTCTCTCTCCCTGCCGCCCGCCACAAACCCAGACCTCCCCCTCCCCCTCCCCTTCAGGCTGATCCGAACCCTCCAGGTCGCCACCGAGTCCACCAGCAGGTGGAAGCGGCGAATGTACAGCAGCTGGTGAGCCAGGGGGCAGCACTGAGGGGGGGGAGGGCGGGAGGGAGCGCGGGGGGGGAAGGGAGGAGGAGAATGCTATGGGAGGGCAGGATATCATAGAGGGTGCGGGCGAGCTGGGGGTTTGGGCAGGTGATGAATGCGGGGGTTGTGATGACTGGGTACGGCATTCAGGCGGTTTGTGATAAGGACCGGGACCGGGATATAGCGGATACAGGAAGGGGGTCGCGGGCAGCCCGGGGCATGGCGATCACGGGGCATGGCGATCACGGGGCATGGCGATCACGGGGCATGGCGGACGATGACAGAACGTACCAGGAGGTACGGCAAGGCTAGGCGGCGCGACTCACCACCAGCCGCCCAAACGTAGCCTGAGCCGCATTCGGCCCAACACCCTCTGCCGCTGCGCCTGCTGCCACCGTGGTGTCGCCCCCCACGGGGGCAACGGCCCCGGCGGCTGCATCACCCGTGCAGTTGCTGGCACCGGGAGGGGCAGCTTCAGGGGAAGAGGAAGGACAGGGGCCGCTTAGAAGCCCAGGGGCCACTTCCCACCCCGCTTTTGCCCACCCCGGCCCCGCCGCCCCGCCTCCGCGAAATCCTGCTGTCTCCTCCTCCTGTTCTTCCCCTACAGCCGAACAGGATACCGCAACCCCCGCCAGGTGGGGACTTTCATCCCCTCCAACCCCTTCAGCGGGCGGGTTCCGGCTCCAGCTACAGCTCCCGTGTTGATCTGAATCTGGATCCCGATTTGTGTTCCGGAATCCGAACTCCCGGTGCAGCTGTGCGGCCCACAGGGGCCCCCAAGCGGCGGCCGCCCGCAGACCCCGTGAGACGGCACAGCAGCGAGCGAGGGAGCGGCTACGGTGGCAGCGGGTGCGGAAGGGCGATGGTGTTCCAGGTTTTGTGGAAAGCAGAGGTGTGAAGACGCAAAAAAGGATATAGCTCTGCAGCCATCAAGGTGCCAATAAGGACACCGCGTGGCACAACCTACATATGCCATCTTTTTGGCAAATGTGAATTCCAATGCTTTCGGCTGGGAGTGCATCGGAAGATGGCACGGTTGATAATACGGATGACGGGTGGTAAGTCCGTGGGGTCACTGTCAACAAGCCATCTATCGTAGGTACTGTCACGGCTGCATAGCTCAGCCGGGCTCGCACCAGTCAAGGCGCATCAGCACATCCTCCCGGAGCACGTGTGTCGGCAGGCGCAGAAGCGTCGGAGTGTCAGCTGCACCCGGTGCTGCTGTGACAGAGTCCATGAGGCAGGCGGATGGCTTTGTGGGCTACAGTATTGGAAAGACAGGCGCTCGTCAGTGGGTGGACTTAATACGGAGTTATTACCAAAACAATAGAAATAACGACCTGCAGTAGGTCTGATTGTTGCTGTTCGTATTGCAGGTTGTCCTTTCGTGATTTTAAATTCAGGAAAGGTGACAACTGCTAAGGAATAATAGACTATTACCAATTATCTTTTACCAGACTAAAGAGATAAAACTACATATGAAGCTTGGCAATTTACCAGAACCGTCTCGGAGGCAAATTACTAAGCGCGATTCCGTACGTACGCTACCGGATCTGGAGGATCTGCCGACTCAGGGCCAGAGGGCCGTGCTGACCGTCAGCTACAAGAAGATTTGCCCCCAGAGTTAAGGTATGGTCATCTTCCCTGTGGTGCTTATGGCAATTTGTAATACTTATCTTTAAAATGCTCGCACCCAGGGTGATTCTTTTGCTCTGCACGGAAGAACGGTACGGGTGCGGTTTACGCCCCAAGTCATTACATGCTTCATTGTGGTCCCAATATGCAACACGCAAGCTGCCATCACAGCCCCTTTTTCAATGGTCCTCTCAATTCCCTGATGAGTTTTCCTTTCGTAACCTCTTGCACATCTGCCCCCTTGCGCACACAGCACCATCGCAGCCGTAGATGGCAATCCCCCAACGGAACGCTGTCCAGGCGACCGCACGGGCATACGAGATTTCACACGCGCCACAGCAGCTCAGCCCAGCCCACCGCCCAGCAAGCTTACACTCGGCCCGAGCACTAAAGCACATCAGCAATCAGCAGCAGCAACATATCTTCCGAGCGCGTTTTTACCTGAGCATCAACCTTAGCAGGAATACACACACATACACACACCCCGCTCAAGAGCACACACTGTGAGGCAATTCGCGCCATCCTGATGCACTCAATTTTCTAAGTATCTTCTTCTGTAATCACAGACCGGGTGGGCGGCGTCATGCGGGTAGCGGTCTCCATCCTCCCGGACAGGGACTGGAGCCCGCGGAGAACGCAGAAAATGGAGGCAGGAAGCAGGAAGCAGGAGATAAGCCCAGGCCAGACTATGAAGCTAAGGGACAACCTACAATTAAGTAATCGCCACACATATAGTAGGGTGTATATGTGGAAAAACATACATCCAATTTCATTTTCAAAAGTTCAATCCAGCACAGATTGAGGACTCGAGAGAGCACACAACGGCTGGGGAGGTGGTTGGGAAAGTGGAGGTCGCTAGCAACGCCAGCATCCGGCATTATCCCAACACCCAGAAGCCATAGTGCTTCCTCCAACGCCATTTCCTCCCCCACCCTGCAACGGGAGGCAGCCCGCGGCAGCGAGAGAAAGGTGCCCTAGGTGCCGCACCTCACTGCCCCCCGCCTACTAACACTGCCGAGCGGCCACACTTCGTCATCAGGGTCTAACATGCAATGATGCAGTTATGTCTCCCGCAGGAAAAACACGTCGGGGTCCCGGGGCTTCGCATTGGGGTCCGTGTCAGGCAGTCACATACACGCAAGCGTCCAATGCAGGTCAGCCAGGGTGACGTAGGGGATTATGGATACCACCGAATGCCACCGGACTGGTCATTAGCAGCGGAATCATGCCATGAATCGGGAGGGGGGCTAGTGATGTCATATTCCTGCCGCTGAAAGGAGCCATTATTACGAACCGGTCTGGTCAAGTCAAGATGCAAAACCGTACATAAATATCAAGCTGAACTCACGATCTGTTTTTCACTGGTCGCGACCTGACACATTCCATTATAGTGATGGAATATGACCGCTGCGCCCACAGCGTCAACGCGACGCGCAACCGGCAGTGGGAATGACAGCACCAGTACCAGCAATATAGCAATAGCAGCAACAGCAGCGGCAATAGCAGCAAAGCAGCGGAAGCTACTTTATTTCAACCACAAAACGTGCAACGAGTCGGTTGTTGTGTCTTGTGTTCTGAGCTCACAGCAACGAGCACCAACCGCCAACCGCATAAAACCAACCGCTGCAACACCTCAGCAACGGCCTCCCAACCCAACCCAACGTCAAGCACACGCACACACACACACATACACAATATTTCCTGCCATGAAGTTGATGAACAAATGTGCTCGAATCATCATCCTCGAGGATAACATAGGAGGTCACAGGGAACTCAGCAGCCGTCCTCGGGCCATGTACCTCACCCGTTCAGGGGCAGAACCTTGGCGGAAGGCTGGTTGCGCATCACATCGTTACCGGGGGCACTCGGGGAGACGCCGGTGCCGTTGTATGCGCTGCCGCCGTGCTTGGAACGGTCCAGACCCATCTCCTCCATCTCGGGCGGGATGCGCAGGGCACCCGCGAGCTTGAAGATGAAAAAGAAGGGAATCATGGTGCCGCACACCCAGCCGATGATGGCCAATAGACCAATGACCTGGCTGGCCAGGAGCTTGCCGCTGGAGTGGGGGTAGAAGGCCCCGTATAAATGGTACGCATCTACGTCATCAGAACGGAACGTATACGCCTCCTTGATGTACTCCTGCGCACCGCGTGAACGATTGGAACGGCGGGGAGAGCCCATTGAGAGGGAGAGCCCATTGAGAGGGAGAGGCCATTGAGAGGGAGAGGCCATTGAGAGGGAGAGCCCATTGAGAGGGAGAGCCCATTGAGAGGGAGAGCCCATTGAGAGGGAGAGCCCATTGAGAGGGAGAGCCCATTGAGAGGGAGAGCCCATTGAGAGGGAGAGGCCATTGAGAGGGAGAGGCCATTAAAAAGGGGGAGGAGGGGATGACACGCTCCGCAGAGGGGGATAGGTTAAGAGCCAGGGTTTTCCTATCCAACCCTTTTTTCCATTCAGTGGCTGTTTAAAAAAACAACACGCTTCGAGTGAGAGCCAGCTAGCTCATGACTAAAAACCTTTCCGAGGCGGCATTTTCCTATTCGTTCCCTGAAATCCATTTCATTCATTGTCGAGACGGAAACCGCATATGTAATTATACCTCCGGGTTGCTTCCCGGCTACATTCATCATACAGTCGGCAGGACATGGTTACGGCCATGGCTGCATTTATCCCGTACATGTCTGCTCGTTACAGACAGTGATACCGCACCCTTTCCTAGTCTAGTCCAAGGGTGGATTCCCGGCATGCCGGCCGACATGCCTAACAAGTAATTATTTAAAGCATAATCAGATACCTTCCGTTTCTTGTACACTTTTTTAATTTACAAGGAGAAATAAAAAAAATCCCCATCCCGGACTTCGGCTAAAACTATGGCCAAGTCATACTTCTTACATTCGGGATATGCCTAGGTGGCGAGTGGCGGGCCCCGGGGACATTCGCACGAGGTTGGGAAGGGGAGTGTAAGGAGTCAGGAGCAACTCCCCTAGGCCTCTCCCGCGAATACCCTTTGCCTGAATTGCCAGTCAGTACTTAACCTGATCTGATATAACCACCTAACCACCTAACCACCTGGCGGTGGCCACCATCTAGCGGGGCCCTGCGTACCTGCTTGGCCAGCAGGCCGGTGAAGAAGACGCCCCACATGCCGGTGCCGAAGTGCATGGGACCCGCGCTGAGGGGATCGTCTGCGAGGCAGGAGGGAAGTGGGACTCAACGAGTGAGTGCAGAATACGGCATGCCTGAACAGACGACACAGATAACACGGCATGCGTCATGGAAGCTGAAATGACCATACATACATACATACATACATACAAACAAGAGAACGGGGTGTGTAGGTTCAACGTCCCTCTGCAGACGTGCCGTCCCTCTTGTAACTGCTGGCAGCAAGACCCGGGACAAACTCTCGCACCCAAACGTCCTTTCCTGGCAAACGCAGTGATGAAACTTCCCGAAACGCGGCCCTCACCGATCTTAAGCTTGAGCAGCACCCAGCACAGGAAGTCGAACCAGAGGCCAGCCACCAGGCCGCAAAGGATAGCGGCCCAGGGCTCCACCACGTGGCAGCAGGCGGTGATGGCCACGAAGCCGCACAGGATACCGTTGCACAGACCCACCAGATCCCAGCCGCGGTGGCGCCGGAAGCCGTTGAGCAGACACGCAATGCCGCCCGCAGCACCGGAAAGCGTGGTGGTGACGGCCGCGCGGCCCACCACAGTGGCCGCGGGGGTCGAGGTGATCATCAACATGGACGTCGGGTTGAAGCCGTACCTGCGATTGAGAGCAAAAACCACACGCACCCCGAGATGGACGGACTATTCATTGCAAGTGGGTGCCAGCGGGAAAAGTCCTCTCTAGCCGCACTCTCCGAGCCCGCTCTAACAAGCCCATTTCATTAAAGAAGACGGGCATATGAAGCAGCGCAGCCTTTGCCGTCAGCTGCGGCACGTATGGTACGATACGACTGCCGCCTACCTACACGCCGGAAAAGGATGCCGATGTGCAAAAGCCCCCCGAAGGTCCCCCGAACACTCACCAGCCGAACCACAGCAAGACGGTGCCCAGCACAACCAGGATGGCCGAGTGACCCGGCATCTCCACGGGGTTGCCGTCGGCATCGAAGCGGCCCAGGCGCGGTCCGACCATGGTTGCGCCAATCAGACCCGCAAGGCCGCCAGTCATGTGGATGACACCCGAGCCTGCAAAGTCGATGTAGCCAGCCTTGAAGAGCGGCGTATTGACGCCGAAGCCCAGCCAGCCCTCCACGCACCAGGCCCACTGCGGACCAGAGGGCGCGGGCACCGGGGTTTTGTTTGGTTTAAGACCCCGACAACCGACTAGACGACCGAAAGCGGGTCGGAAAGAGAGGAGGTCGGGGTAATGCAAAGCTGTGTAAGGATTGAGGTTTGGCGGTTTGGCGGGCGCTGCAAGGGAACCGATAAGAGATATGTCTCAGGATAGGGGAAAGCGAAGGCAAAGATCATGCGTGCCATTGGAAGGGAGTTCCTGTCCATACATACCCCATACTCACATGCGCGACAACGGGGTACACGAAGCCGGCGATGAAGATCGAGTAGCCCATGTACGCGTTGAAATTGAAGCGCTCGGCGACGGAACCAGCAGGAACTGCAGTACAAGCATCCGCGGGGTGCGTCAGGTTTCAGGAGGGGTTCCCAGGGACAAAACCGTGGAGCAGGCAGCGGGAAGGTTCCCCCTTTTGCGACACCTTCGATATACGACATATCTTCCCCTGTACTGCCCTGATACTTACTGGTTGCGGCGGTTGCGCAGAAAGCCCATTGGAAAAAGAAGTCGGTCCACATGCCCATCCCTGAGCCGGTATAGTGTGACTTGTACCGGGCTAAACCGAACATGGCATTGCCTGCAGACGTCGAGTCACACAAACGTTAAATAGGTTGCAATTCCCAAAGTCAAACACAGTGCACGAGGTATTTAGCGCTTACCAATGAACTTGTTCGGCTTATCTCCAATGCCATATGCAAACCCGAACCTGCACAAGGCCAATAACGTGAAATCAGAGGTCACCTTTAATGTGACCGACGAGTGTTAGGTCGCGTACATCACGTGTGTACTCACCCGACACAGTACCACATTATCGCAGCCGCTGCAGCGTCCAGGATGGTCTGGAGCAAAATGTTCATAGCGTTCTTCGAGCGAATCGCTCCGGCTTCCAACTGCGCAAGGAAACACAAAAATTCGATTTCATTCGACAACTTGCAAATTGGATGCATACTTCAGATTAGACAATCGTCGCAGCCAGCGAAAAGGATACGCGCGTCAGACGGAAGAAACATGGCTGTAATTAAGGCAAAAAAACTGCCAGCAAGGTTCGTTTAGCAGGTAAGCAAAAAACTAATTTATAAATCCACAAGGTAGGCCACATGAAAACGCCTTAACCATATGGTTACTACTTCCGCCGCATTAAGCATTATACAACGACCGTAGACGGTATTTCAAAAGATTATTACTAAATTTGGCTAAAGAAGGTTAGTTAGAGCCACGCATGAAGGCACAAACGTGCTGGATAGCACAGGTCCACGTGCGTCAGACGTTCGCTGTTGCAGGAACGCCCCTTAGGGTTTGACCACGCGTCCCATGTGCCCACGCTTACCATGGCAAATCCACCGTGCATCAAGAAGACCAAAGCACCTCCAAACAAGAGCAGAAAGGTATTGACGCCAAGCGATACATCGGCAACGGAGGAAGCTGAGGTGCTAAGCTCATCACAGATGGCCGTCGCGATGGCCGATGCCATACTTTCTGGAGTGTTAGCATCCGTAAGGGCCTTTTGAATTCTATCAAAACACGATTCTGCTTCAGCCATTTTTGAGGTACGCTCGCGAACGTGGGCTCCACGCCTCTAAATCTAAGTCGCGTGTTGATTATATTTTTTACATATCTTCGATGGGTGAAGGACTAACTTTTTGTAGTTGGAGGGCGGGAGCTGTACGACTCTCGTACTTCGCAATGAACTTGTGCTTCTTCGAAGTGTCTTAAACATCCAAATATTTTACTTTAAACGGAACTTAAGGGCTAAATTCACAGCAGGATTGCATCTATCTGGTCCTAGCTATGCCCGCCGCTCACGACCAATACGCACGTGGGTAGAGCCGTCGTGGAGGCTGATTGAGTTGCCGATGGCAGCTTTTATTGACATCCTTTAACTTAATTATTTTATTATCTGGCTAGCTGTGATCGATGGGTGCGCCGGAGTGTGCTATAGCTGGACCACATTGCTGCCGATTGCAGCCTAAGGCACAAATTGTCTAGAAGACAAAACACTCTGTACTGAATACTTCCAGCCATGCCTTGTGCATCCCTCATCCCCGGCTGATGCACTTTAGCCAGCCAGTCACGTGGCTGGCATTTCCGGGTATCACACCGTCCAGTCGGGAGCTATGTAAAACGTAGCCAACAAATGCGACATAACCATGGTCTCATTGCAAACCTAGCTCCGATATTGACGGTGTACGTTTCGCAATAGCGCTTTGTATATCCATCCCTAGCTATATCGTTTCGACTCCGCGCACTCACAGACACGCAAACACTCCTATGCAATGGGTATTTCATCTATTCGTTGTCATGCAACACAACGGCTACCTTACGCGAAGTGTTTGCGGTGAAGAAATGAAGCACGTGTCCGTTTGGGTACATTCCATACATGTCCCGTGCCGCCCCAGCTACGATACGACGCGAACTCTAATCCGATACGTAAATTGGTTTTAGCGGCGTTCATGCGACAAGATAAGGAGATATTGGTACCTGAAGCGAACCACTGCTACCACGTTACTGTTAAAACCCTATTATTACGGCGCACAACCCGGCGGGATAACAAGCAACATTCATTTCGTTAAATGCTCATTTCATCCCATTTTCAATATAAAATATAACGTGTGTTAAATCATCTATCAGCGTTTTACGAGGCACATATATCTCGCGGCGATTTCCCTTGAAGCCCTACCTCTGCTGCCGCGGAAAACTTTTGGAACTCAGGACGCTTACGAGCCGCAGTCACATCGAGGGGCCTCTGTTTATCCCCCCGGGTAATCACGAGTAGTATTCCACTTCGTTGTTTGTAATGAACGCGATGAGAAACGGTGGTGATGAAGCTTAGCCCAACACACTATAGGGTGTCATCGGGCAGGTGGAGGGCAGCGGCCCATGCGACACGGGTTCGCGCAGGACATCACCACTTCCGAGCTGTAAGGTTCTGCCAGCTTTATAAACCTGCTTACGACCGAGTCGGCGTGCGTGCGCTTACATGGCCTGATCCTTTCCTTAGGGTTTCCGGTGCCGTCATATCGCAAACTCTAGCTAGTTTTCCTATACAACCGACTGACCTCATGAGCACGATATATATGCACAATGTGGCCCACTGCCTGCCTGCCTGATGGACATCAGCGGCAAACACCGTGTTCGTTGCCCTTACCTCCGTACAATTGATACGGTTTCGTGGTCTTAACCAAACGGCAGATAGAACGGCGAATACACCCCCCCCCCACACACACACGCACGCACGCACTCACACACACACATACACACACACACACACGCACGCACGCACTCACACACACACATACACACACACATACACACACACATACACACACACATACACACACACACATACACACACATACACACACATACACACAAGCGCGCGTAGTCAGTGACGTCTGGTTTCTGTACATGAACTGCGGGCAGGGAGGACTATTAGAGCCGGGGCTGCCCATTGCCCCATGGCTGCCGGTGCAGTTTCCCCACCGAAATGAGAAACGAATCCCCGGGACACCCGACCCAGCTCCCCGCTAAATTTTGATATCTATGGCTTCCCGCATGCCTCTATATGATGATTACCTATGCCGATAGCAGGTGGGGCGAGGTTTGGGAGCGCGGCCAAGGTGCAGCTAGTCAGTTCCTTGGTGCGCGTGCACGGACACACATGCACCTTGAAGGAACTGCGCACTGCTTAATTTCGAATTTCTTATTGGCCTTATTATCATTCTTCTCACAACCCGCCATTGCGCTGGAAACAAGAAGATTCACACACAGCAACCAAGATGCTCTGGATCCACATGCTGCTCAAGTTCGCTGTTAGGCGGTCAGCAGTCTGCGCTGCAGCCAGCTCTGCAGCCCCGCTGCCATTCCGCAGGCGGTTGCCCCCCAGGCGGTGTCCGCGAGCGCCAAGGCCCAGGTCCACGGGGCCAGGATGGACAGGTTCGTGAACTCGTATGTGCCGTAAAGACACACGCCCAGAAGCAGACCCTGTCGACACATGAGGGGCAGAAGCAGAGTGCCATGTGCATATGGTTCGGGGTTCAGAGGCGTGTTGGAGGAGTGCATCCATCCATTACCTAACTGTCACAAGTTAGCTAATGGAGGGCAAGGGAGGAGATGGCCGCCAAGGATAGAGTGGCCGGCAAGTTGCTTCCCGCGCATGCGCGATGGTCGCCTAACAAGCAGCTGTTCTGACACAGTTCCCATTAGGTCCCCTGAAATCTCTGGTCCGTGCCAAGACACCTGTACCTGCCGGACTGCAGCTGGCGCAGAGCGCGTATTGGGCAAGGCGAACATGTACACCGAGCCTACGATGCATATCCAGGCAAGCAGCCCTGGGACGATTTGGGGTGTAGACCGCAAAACATCTCCAAGAACACTTTTGTAGATGCTGCCGGCTACCAGGGTAATCCAGGTGACATCCAGAAGGATGAATACAACTACCGATGGCAGGAAGACGAGAAGCAACGCTGCAAAATCCATGGGTCATGTGTCAGAAAACATGGTCATATCTTAATCGTTGCTTGGCACAACACGACCTACATTTCCACAGTGGAACGCTGGGGCCAGCCATACTTTCGTCTACCAAGGGCGCATACATCAGCAGTTTCGCAGGTACGTTTTGGGCTTCTTCAATTTACATAAGAAATTTGCATGAGGTATGAGCCTTGGCATCGTTGTGTGCACCTTGCAGTAATCCAATGCCGAGCCACAGCTTCGTTGTGCATATGCTGCCTTGTGCTTTTCATCCTCGGTTGCAGCACGCGTATCATGATGTACAGGGACATGATTACACGTAATGAGCCAAGTTGCTTGCACGCCAACCTACCAACGGTATGTTACAAGTTACAAGTGCCGCACGAGTGGGGGGGGTCCGTCAAAGCCGTGAGGCCATGGACTACATATGTATGTGAAGCGGTTTGTGCTGCCTTCTCCGTCCGTTGATCGGATGTCGCCCTTAGAGTTTCTGGGAAACACGCTTTTTGGGGAGCTTATATTTTGGTGAGTAGGATCGATTTACCAGCGAGAATGGTAAGGTAGATTGGCGCACCGGAAAACCCATCCCAGAGGAGCCACTCCTTTCTACAGCTCCGGGAGGCTGTCTGCAGTATCTCATGCTTTCCCTCGTACGGGAAACAACCGGATTAGTATGAAGATGGCTAAATACAAGCACTGGATGAGCTTGCCGTTTTAGAAAGTAACTGGGTCGCATGTCAATATTCCTGTGGATCTGCACCGGCTGCTAATGCGTTTTCGCCTATGTTGATGACGGCCGCTAAAACCAAAAAGAGCTTGTAGGGGGATCGTGCACGGGCAGAGGATCCAGACCGCGTGACCGCGTCGCAACCCTAGTCGCTCCCAGCCCACGGCGCAATCCCTCTTCCGCAATCCAAATCTCGCCACCGCTCACGGTGGTAACCTCTGCTCACTGTTGACACTATAACAAGTGGATCAACTTGGACACCACACACACATCCCGCCAGCGCTATAGGCGATGATAGGCGCTGTACGGTAATTCGTACACGTTCGTGACGTAAAAAACCTAGAGCGAACGGCAACACCGAAAATGCACCCCAAGCACATTTCAGACGCCACAACAGCATGCCATGTAATTAATGTCCCTGACCTATTCATACATACGCAAGTTGGGGAGGCAATCAACCCTAAGTTAACATTAAGTCAGTTCATTAGTTAGCCATGCCTTGATACTACCCATGTTGCAGCAGTGATCCGCTGAGAATGTGCGGCATGGTGTGGACAGGCAGGTGAGTGATGAGTGAGTGGCGCATGGGAAGGGGTGCAGCGTATCATAAAACTTTGCCGAAGGCGGTGTGAATAGTGTGCACAGATATATATCAATGACCACAGCAAAAGCAATCGTTCCATAATTACGCCGGGCTCCAAGTTACTGACCATCAACACGCGCAATAAAAACACCGACGGACCGTGGCACCCAATGGCAGTGTGCTGTGGGCGTGAGAGCCCATACCACTCGGAAGAGGGCGCCCTGGAACGGAAGCGCCTTATCTCCTGCGCAGGTGATCGATATCGTCCGGGTTATCGTGGTCGGTTCCATGCAACCAGCCGAGTCCTCTAACTAGAGATTTATGGCGTGCGAGTCACACATACGCGCAATGATAAGGAGATCACTAAGCTGAAGGGTGCCGCAACCTAGGTCCAGAAATTTGAGATACAAAAGGGTACATCCAATGTTCGTGCAGACTGGTGTGCGTGGATTATTCACTCGTCAAGCATTATCCCTAGCTAAGGGTTACCGCCTCCTTTATTGACAACAGTTATTTCGTGTGTTGAACTCATGAGCTGGAACCGCTTAGCAAACCTACCCCCTAGCAACTGCTGCTTCCAAGCCTGCAGCTTCACAAGCATGTCATACAACATGCACACATTGCCGACGGAAGCGAAACCAATTCATACAAGTGCATCAAGCACATTAAAACAGACACCACTAGCTCAGTCTCCACTAGCAAACGAGGTAGACAGCAGGAGTGCCGCAGCTGAACGTAACGACAGAGTCCAGGAGGTGCACAGGGCATCTTCCAAACCAACCTTCAAAACAAGGTCCGTGTCCTGCCCATGCTGAGGTGGGACCACCTGACTTGAAACAAATTAAGCGATACCACTGTTCTGACTACTATGATAAATACATTTACACAAGCAAAAGACAACCCAGGCCATAAGGCTGCGAGGTACTCTTGACAGACATGCACAGCACAGAGCCCCCCCCCATCAACATCTAGTGGCCCAGCACATGTCACGACCAGCGAGACGCCTCCCAGCTCATGCTGCTTTCCTAGCAGCCACCTTTGGCCCACCACCAAGTTGCAACCATGTTAGCACTTGGAACCATCTCGGAACACGCTGCCGCTGCCGCCATCATCAGGTGCCGTACAATATGCTCTGTGTAGTATTTTAGTGAGATGGCTGCACAAGTAAAGCGCTCCTGGCTAGGTTGCTGATGGGGAAGTTGTAAATTACCGCTGGCTGTTAACATGTGCATAAGCTCTACAATTGTCCCACCTCTCTGCCGCCTTTACCGTCCCTTTCTCTGCCAAAGCCATCCCCGTCCTGCTGACCCATCAATGCAAGACCTTCGTCCTATCACGGATACAGCTGCAGCCAGTCAGGCAGCTTCGCCGGCACACAAGAGAGGCCTCGCACTTGTAGACGATTGCTGCACAACCTCCCACGCCGCTGTGATGCTGACACCGCCAAGCCACGCGCGAAACGTGCCTAGGCGCAGCTAAGAGCAATGCCGCGGAGGTAGCACATCACGATGCCAATCTCAACTGCCGCTGATCTTGGCGCTGCCGCAGGCCACGAGGGGGAATTCTGCACCTTGGCGCCCCTGTAGCCCTTGTGGACCTACTGGACATCACAGGGCCCCTAGTAACTCAACAGGAAGAAGTATAATTTCATAATCCCGACACGGTCCTGCATTTCAAGCAGTCGCCTTCACACACGATAGCTGGTTGGGTGGGAGGGGCTGCTGTAGCAAGTACTGATGGCGATGGTGGTAATTCGAAGGAGGGCCTCCAGCACTGCAGACGTGTAGCAGCTGGCCGCTGAAAAGGCCTCTCGAGATGCTGGTGGTCGCGCTACGCGCGTATTTATAGAGCCGTGCTGTGAACCGGCTGCTACAAGACGGAGCACCTGCTGGGCGCCAGGGAATCAGGGTCCTCAGGACGCTCCAAGTCAGGACGTCGAGATGCAACCCATCCAGGAAAAAAACGGGTGCACAGACGGGTTGCTGCGGGGAAGGTATGGAAAGAGCGCTAAAAGAGTAACGACTTCTGAGTGTTAGGTTGGGATTTAGGGTTTTAGGCCTAAACCCCAGGCCTACTAGGGCCCTCAGATTCAATGCAGGCGGCAATCCCTCACATCACCGAGTACCGAGGCTACTGTAGCACCCTCAGATGTATAACCCACACACGTGTCCAAACCAGGGTGCACGCTTTGGTGTAGCCCCGTCAACAGGCTTGATGGGCATCCCCCACTGCTTTCCTCCCCACCTGCCCCAGACGAGGGCTATATGCCTTGAACATCCTAATGACCAGCAAATCGCCTTGCCGGCCGGCCACCCCCATGACGGCAATCTGGAAGGACAGGACCCTGAACAGCCGCACAGGGTCGAGACGTTTCGCCCCTGGCTTTCGTACGCATGTGGGCCACGTGGGGCCCCCATCGCCTTCGCCATCAACACTATTGCCCCTGGGATTAAAACATGGCCCTTCGCGGTATTGGTACTGCTGCTGCTGCTTCAATGCCGCGGGAACGGAAACGTCGAGGTAGATCACCAGGTTGTGTGGTGCAGCCCTTGGGCCTAGTGAATCGCGCCCTGCAGTCCAATAGTGCAGCGGAGTGATGCTTTGTTGTCGGAAAAACGTGGCTTAACTACACATATAACGATGAGAGCAACATATATGACCAGCATTGCTACTGCTGGCGCAGGGAGAAATCTGCATCATCACCCCTGCGGATGGTTGATGGCCCGCAAAGTCGAAACAATGTGCGGGCAGATGTAATACCCCGTAACCCCTGTAGTTCTGTCCTCGTAATACAAGTTGGATTTCGGGAGGATGGTGCGCTCTGCTACTGGTGCGCACCGCCGGGGAGCCACTCCTAGGTGTCTGCGCTTCCTGGGACTCGGCAACGGTGTGGTACAAGGTGTGGGCTGGAAGTCATGCATGACAAATCAATTGATGTATAAGTGGGATTCTAAACTTTTTATGAAAATACCGCAATACCTACCAAGTGTGAAACCATATCCCGCACCAGGTCCTCCATCTGCCTCCTGCTGGAAGGCGCACCAGCCAGCAGGTAGGCTATCTGTACAATGCCTAGCCCGACAGAACGCTGACGCACGCGAAGAAGCTCTCTCGCCTTGCACCCATGGTCGTGCTCCGCATAGAATATCGCGGTCAAGACAACGCAAAGCGGGGCCGGAAACGAGCGGGACGGGGAGGGACAAGAATGCAAAGCGGGACAGACGCGTGCGAGCGGCAGAGGAGTGGGATGCGGGCGG